TTGCATGCTTTAAGAAAGTTTGATTAATCTGCTTGCTGTCTGCTTTTAGTCATTATTTAAACTATGTTCAGATAACAATTCTATGTTTACTTGGTTCTAGCACTAGCAGACAAAGGTTTCGTACTTGTGTTTATTATTAAGAATTGAAGAAAGATGGGAGGTGGTCACAATGGACATGGTGGTGACCCAAGTGATAGAGGGCTGTTTTCCGAGCTTGCTGGGTATGCTGCTGCTGGAGCATTACGTCCACATGGATCATATCCACCACAAGGATATCCCCCTCCTGGATATCCTCAACAAGGCTATCCACCTGCTGGATATCCTCCCCCAGCTAGCTATCCAACCGCTGGATATCCTCCCGCAGCTAGCTATCCACAGGCTGGATATCCTCCCCCAGCTAGCTATCCACAGGCTGGATATCCTCCCCTGGGTGACTATCACCATGCTGGCTATCCTCCTCCGGTTGGCTATCTTCCAGCTGGATATCCTCCCCCTGGTGGCTACCCACCAGTTGGATATCCTCCCCCTGGTGGCTACCCACCAGTTGGATATCCTCCCCCTGGTGGCTACCCACCAGTTGGATATCCTCCCCCCGGTGGCTACCCACCAGCTGGATATCCTCCACCTGGAGGCTACCCTTCAACAGCTTACCCTCCTCACAGTGGATATCCTCCAGCAGCTTATCATGGTATGGCTAATCACTTCCTTTCTTTGTTCCTTACATGCATGTTTTATGTTAGTTGAGAGTGGTTTCAGATTGTTTGAGAGAATGCAGACATTACTATTGTTGGATCCTTTTGTGATTTTCTATTTTGGTTTAGCCTCGTCTCTTCAAAAACAATAAAGGTCAGAGACATGTTGATCATAATGGAAAACAGAATTTGGCTATATTCTATAATTCATTCTCTGTACTTGGTTTGATTAATTTGGATTTATGTCTATCAATATGGCTTTCTTCTTATTCCATAGCATGTGTTTTGTGGTCTCTCCTTTTACATCCTAAAGGCTCATTAAAATTTTACTTTGGGTAAATTGACCTCTCTTCTTTACTTCACAAAAGATTTAGGTTGATTTTCATTAAATTATTATACATTCTAGTTCAGGTTTCTTCTTCTTACATCAGCATCAATCAGCTGACCGGTTATAAATACAGGGCATAGATATGGCATGGGTAGCACGGGTGCAATTCTAGCTGGGGGGGCAGCGGCTGCAGCTGCTGCTTATGGGGCTCATCATTTGGCACATGGATCCCATCATCTTGGACATGGGTTTGGTCATGGGAAGTTCAAGCACGGAAAGTTTAAGCATGGGAAGTTTGGCATGTTTGGAAAGCACAAAGGCAAGTTTTTTGGCAGGAAGTGGAAGTAACTCCTATCTTTGTAGCCTATTTATCCCATCTTTTTATTGTTGGCTAGCACCAAACCAGTTTGTTCCTTCTGTAACTTCTAACATCGCACTATATGAATCTTATTTTACCTGGCACAGTAGTATATTTCTTCATATTCTGTTGTGTATATGAATGACTGAATTACCAGGCTATTCTTATTTTATTTGTTTGATAGAAGTAGCCTTAACTATAAGAAAATAGCTCATTCATTAAGGTGGGGGAAATGATCTTAGTTGCTAATGGCCTAATGCTATTGTGAAAACCGCCCACCATTTCTCATTCTTGCTTAGGAGTTGATAAAATTTGCTGAATTAACCAAGAAAGATTGCTTGAACCGGAGTTTCCTTGAAATTTATGTTCCTCATGCCCCATATCTTATGCTTGCGAGTTGCAACAACTAAGAGTAAATTTTATCCGATTGTATAGCCTTGATAAGGCAAGCCCCAATGTTGGTCATCTCAAGAAAATGATTCAGATGTATAGCTCTTGCATGTGGGCTCAGTGTTTGAATCTGTGCTGCATAAAGAGAAAGATGTGCGGAGATAAATGTACAAGGGAGGAAGTTGGGTTAAGAATGGAGAGACATAAAGAAGTAGTTGCAACTGTAATGGTATCGTCCAGCCTCACATTTGGATAGAACCAAAGAAAGGTTCTTCCTAGATATGGCCCATATGTGAGGAGTGAGGAGGCCGTGTGCTTGGCTTATCCAACAGTCTTATCGATTAAGAAATACTACGGAGATAAGTTTTGATATTGATAATTTTTTTTAAAATTAAGAAAGAAGTAAAGAATTTTTTTTTTCTCTTCCTTTTAGCTTAGTTGTTAGTACACCCCTAGAGATATGTACCCAATTATACTATTAAAGACTATATTGATATTTCTAAAGGAGTGTCTCAATTAGTATAAAATTTTAAATATCTCAAATTTATGAAGAAATTTAGAAAATAAGAAGGTTATACCATACACTATTATATAAGATGTGTACTATGAGTAATGATGGCAAGGTGAAAAGAATTAATCATTAAATGATATGTATGGTTGTATAAAAATATTATATACAAAAATTGTTCCTAAATAATTTCTCTATTTCTGGGCTTCTCCAATAAAAGAAAAATGTTATTTAACACTTAAATTTTGTAATGATTAATTTGATAAAATTTCATAAAAATGTGTCGTAGACAATTAATTTTTGGGGCAAGTAAACTTGAATGGAGGAAGTATAATTTACTTATATTTGATTTTTTTTCTTGTGATTTTATCCACTTAGTTCTAATTGTAATAAATTTTTTTCAAGCAAACAAACCATAACCAGACCAATTCTATATGGGTGACGCTGAGAAGATATTAATTTCACCCAAAAACAAAAAAGTGTTTTATAAAACAGATTTTATATTAAAAGTGCAATTGGTTTTATGAATTTATTAAAATA